CTGCATTAGTGGAAAGAGCATTGGACTCAGGATCCTGGTTCAAGCAGACCCAGCTGCTTATGAGCTGTGTGACCTTGGACAAGTCATTTCACCTCTCTAGACTTTAATGTCCTTATTTATAAAATAAAATATTTGGGTTAGACATCTCAAAACCCCCAGCCAGGGCAATCCTTTCATGATCCTTGGTAGCTAGCTGCAGTTTAGGCAATACATGGAAAAGTACTTTGAGAAGTGGTTAAAAGCTGTTAATGCCTTTCAAAAGATGTTATTTTTGCAGTGCAGAGCATGAAATGATACATGTAGAAAAATAAAATAAGTCCTTTGAAATTTTAGTTTTTCAAATTTAAACATAAAAATATTCATTTTAAGTGTTACTCCTCCCTCTCCTCTTTATCTTAAACAAAAAAGGGTCTATTTTAATGTACACAGACAATTTAAGTAATCACACCTATCCTGTGTTTAATTAACCACACCAGAGCTTTGGTAAGGTATAAAATAGTGCATGGATTTTACCCCTTTGTTTGCCTTCTCCATTGATAAGAGTTGTTAGGAGACCTCCTCTTCCTGGTAAGGGAGAAGGAGACATCTCTGCAAGTGGAAATTTCCTTTGTAAAAGTAAATTTCCTTTACAAAAAGAAAACTTGTGCTGTGTTTTTAGAGCGTTTTCTGCCTCTGTTTATTTTAAATGGTCTTTAGCTCAAAATGATCTATAGTTTGACCTATAGATCATTTTAGGATGGTATATTTTTTACGATGGTATATATCATTTAGGATGGTATATAGGGCACATTTTAGGATGGTATATTCTGGTACCCTTCACCTGGACATTGCTCTCAAACCTTATGAGTAAGTTAATTCAAATACCTACCCTGCCCCAGTTCAGTGTGGTGAATGGCACCCGGCACTCCCCAAGTCTTAAATTCCGTGGGATGAATGGAGCCCTGCACTCCCAAGTCTTAAACTCCGGTGTTTTCCACTTTCCTGGTTCATCTACCGTCTCCTTGTGCCCACTTTCCTGTTTCAAGCCACAGGCAACAGCACAACCCACATGGTCCCTTGAACATGATACAACATAGCACACACACAAGTTGCCTTTGTTCCAACTCTCTTCCAGCTTTATTCAACACTTTTTATCCTCATCCCCCAACTATCATTATCATCATTCATTTATTCATTTTCCATTTATTCAAAAATTGTGCATTAAGCATGTATTATGAACTAAGTTTAGGGATGCAGCAGTGAACAATAACAACAAAACTAGATGCACACTTTGCCCTCATGAAGTTTACAGTCTAATGAGGGGGATGGGGATTATTAATGAGATAGCCACACAAATAAATGTGACAAGTTTGTTTATGTAGGGATGGTAGGGATGGGGTGCTTTTAGAGCATATAGCAGGGAGCCTCTCCTTTGACTTGGAAGTTATCAAGAGCATGAGTATGAATTAACTGAAGAGTGAGGAGAAGCATGGGTATTAGGCAGAAGGAATTGTATGTGAACTTGTAATTGCCCAATGGGTTCTTCCTGCCCACTGACAAACCCAATTCAGTAAGACCATAGTATTGCAATGAAGAAAGGGTTTAATTAACACAAGGCAGCTGAGAGGAGAGAGTGACTCAGCCTCCTGAGAACTCAGAGGCTAGGGATTTTATGGATAATTTGGTGGTCAGGAGGCTAGGGAATGGGCACTGCTGATTTGTTGGATGAAATGATAAGAGTGTGGAAAATGGTTCTTGTGCACTGAGCCCACCTCTGTGTAGGGGCCACAGGACCATTTGAATCATGAGTCATGGGTGTTGGTGCGGTCAGTTGGTTGCCAGAATGTAAAAATCTGAAAAACACCTCAAAAGACCAATTTCAGGTTCTACAATAGTGATGTTAGCTATAGGAGCAACTAGGGAAGTAAAAAATCTTGTGACCTCTAGCCACATGGCTGCTGAGCAGTAAGGGATTATAGAAACTATACCTATGTTTTAGCAGAGGTCAGGCCCTTTTCATAATCCTAATCTTTCATTCATCTTACAAAGGCAATTTCAGCCCCCAAAACTAAACAAGGAAGGGATCAGCTTTAGGAAGAGACTATTATCACTCTTGCTTCAAGTTAATTAGAAACTAAATTTCTCCCATGGTTAGCCTGGCCCATGCCCAGTAATGGGTAAGGACAGCTTGTCTGTAAGGCGAGAAGCAAGATGAAGTCAGCCATGCTAGATTTCCCTCACTGTCATAATCTTTGCAAAGGTGGTTTCAAAGTAGCACTGGGGTAGAATAGAAAAAGGCCAGCATGGCTGAAGAGTGTAGAGTAAGAAGCAGAGTGGAACAAGATGAAGTAAGGAAGGTTGGCAAAAACCAGACCACACAAGGCTCTGTAGGCATGTTGAGGACTTTGGTCTTTAGTCTATTTTTAGCACAAGAAGTAAAACAATGAGTCATTGATTTCAAGAACATCGCTCTCACTAGCATATAGAAAATAGAAGAGAGGCAAGAGTGGATGTTACCAAGTTATTGTGGCACTTTAGGCAACAGATACAGCTAGTGCTTGACTTACACCATGATTGGTTCCAACAGACTGGTCGTAACATGATTTGGTCATAAGTTGAGTAGGCTATATGCACACGGAGATGGTAGTGCTGCCAGAAGCTGGTCCGCACTGTCGTACGCCCAGCTGGGCAACGTTTGCGCTGCCAGACGTGGAGCAGTCGTGGCTAGCTATTGTGGTCATAAAGTTGAATGGTCGTAAGTTGCATAGGTCATAAGTCGATCAATACCTGTATTGGAAGCCCAAACAAGGGAGGTGGTGTTTCTCACGAAAGAAGTGTGTAAACCAGGAGTTATTTAGAACGTACCAATGAAGAACTTGACAATGAGTTGTAAAAAAGAAGAGAGGAGAACATCAAGGATGATTTCAAGGGGTTGGAATCGTCAAATTAGATATGTAAGGGGTAATATTCACTGAGAAAGGGAGAAGGAAAGAGAATCAGTTTTGTCTTGTCTTTGAGTCATAATGGTGGAAGATTAGTGATAAATTTGGTTTGGTACATGCTAAGTTTGAAGTACCTTTGACATATGCAAAGGGAAATGTCAGGTAGGCAGTTAAATAAAAGGTCTATTATAGTGGTTCTAAAATCAGAGATAGTGTGTTTCTCCAGGGGACATTTGACAACGTCTGGAGATATTCTTGGTTGTTACAATGTGGTGAGAGGTGCTATTGGCTTCTGGAGGGTAGAGGCCAAGAATATTCCCAAACATCCTACAATGTACAGAACAACCACACCCGGTGCAGCAAAGAATTATCCAACCCAAAATGTCAAAAGTGCCAAAGGTGAGAAATGCTGGTCTATAGATACTTGAGAGTCATTGGCCAAAAGCCTTGGGTATTGATAAGATCACAAATAGAATAAGAGTAAGAAAAAAAGTGGGATAGTACAGTTTTTGAGAAACTTTAATGCATAATGGCTGGATGACTTACCCAACATAAGAGACTGAGAAGGAGCAGCAGAGAAGTAGGAGGAAAATTTTAAAAAAAATGGAGTCACAGAAGCCAAACGCTGGGTAGAGGAGTGATGAAAAGTGTCAGATGCTGAGAAGACAAAGGAAATGGGGGCTGGTGAGTGTCCATTGCATTTAGGAATGTGAAGGTCACTGGTAGCCTCTGCAAGAGCAGTTTTGGTAGCATCATGCTGAGACAAGACATACTGCAGTGGGTTGAGAAATGAATGGGAGATGAACAAATGGAGGCACTAGTATAGGCAATGCTTTTAGGAAGTCTGGCAGTGGAGGGGAGGAGAGTGAAAGAGAACAGTCCTGGCAGGAAATGTGGAGGTCAAGAACAGTTTAGGGTTTGGTGATGTTTTTGTAATTGTTTTATTTTGTTTTAATTTTTTCATTATGGAAAATTTCTAACATATATAAAGTAATCAGGATATTAAAATGGACTTCAATGTACCCTGGATTCTGTGGACTCTGGATTCTGTTTTATTTCTTAGATGAGTAATGTTTGTTTTAGGTGGGAGTTGATTTGGCTGGACTCAAATTCCCAACTCTGTCTCTCCTAATCAGCAATAACTAAAATCTCTGCTCAGTTTTTTCAGATTCCAGCTGTACTCATTTTTTGCCAGTCCCCCTGTGTATGCATAGTTTAGTCAGCCAATAATTTGCATAGATTTGGGAGTTTATTCTTTCTGCAGCTTATTCCTTTCTAGAACCCACTCCCTCTTCATTTCCTGGCTTCTCTTCTAGCTCCAAATCTATTATCTGACACCTCAAGTTATTAAGACTTTGGCCTTCTGTTGCCCCAAGTAGCCTGCAGATTGGACTGCCTTCAGGCAAAAAGCTGCAAACTTGCAAATCTCAAAAGGTATAATTCCTGCTTTCAAAGCTTGATTTCCCTCCAGTATCTGTCTGCTCTTGGCCAACCCCCATTGCCTTCGTGTGTGTGTATGTGTGTGTGTGTGTGTGTGCATGCATATGTGTGTGTGTGTGATGATGATGGAGTAGCTCAAGACTTCCCATCCCCAGCTCCATCCCCCACTGCAAGAACCTCATGCACATGTATCTGAGCATCCCAACCCACATCTCCAAGTTTCAGTCACAGCCCCAGCCCTCGGGATCCAGCCATTGCAGTATGGTCTGTACTTGGAAGGAGGGACCTGGAGAAGAGACCCAGACAGTTCCTGGAATCAGCCTTGGGGCCATTCAGTCAAGGAATTCTGGCATGCTGGGTACTGGTCTAGAGGGAAGAAAGAAGGGCACAGACTCTGGGGAACACAGGCTCTAGGTAGGCACACTTGTTGGCCCCGTGGACTCCTTGCCCTGTGGAGAGAAGCAATTTGGAAGAAAGCCAGAGGATGACCCTCTAAACTATTGGGGCTTAGGGCAGGAATCTTTCTTGCCCTGGCCTATGGGTAAATTTAATTAATGCAATACCCAGTACTGTGAACTTTGCTCAGTTCCTAGTCTGACTGCCTGGTTTCTCTGTGTGTATATGTTTTGTTTCCTTTAGTGGACTGTTCATCACCATTCATGACAAGGGCCACCTTGCAACAATGCTGAACTCTTGGCCAGAAGACAATATTAAGGTATGATTCATTTCCATTGCTATTGCATTATTGTTGGGTGAATCCTTTAAGCCTGAACCAGAGTCATTTCCCGCTATAAAATGAGCCATTGTGACACTAAAGGCATCATACTATCCCCCATTCCTAAGCCACAGACCTATTATAGCCAAGTACAAATACACCACAGAGTAGAGGTTTGCATTAACCAGGCATCCATATGACATTGCCCTTCATTATTGTGATCGTTAATCTGAAGATATGTTCAGCCTGTGTTGAGATCCTGCTAGATATATGGTAATAGTTTCCATGGTAGACAAAGAGAGAAATCAGGCATAGACCCTCTTCTTGAGTAGCTGATCTATTGTGTGGAAGATAAGCCAGAGGCACAAAAGACTAACAAGGTGAGACTTGACCAGAGATAAATATGGTACACGACAACAACTGAGGATGTTCTTTCAGAGGCAGAGATGATTTTTATCCTGAGAAGATTCTGGGATGACTTCATGGGGGAAGTGACAGTGGAGCTGGGCCTTGAATTGAGAGGTAGACTGTGGACAGTTAGCAAGTGGAGAGACTAGGATGTGGGGTGAGGACATGCTGCTCCAAAGGTGAAAGCTTATGATGGACAATATCTTCACACTTGGGTGTGTGTACCCTGGGTGTACACAGCAGTGTGGGGGTAGGGATGTGGGGCATAAATGTACAGTGATAAAATAAACCTGCCACTTCTTCCAGGAACATCCATTTTACTTAAAAACTTTAGGAGAAAACGTTTCTCTTTTTTTTCTTTTCTTCTTTTTGAGACAGAGTTTTACTCTTGTTGCGCAGGTTGGAGTGCAATGGCACCATCTCAGCTTACCACAACCTCCACCTCCTGGGTTCAAGTGATTCTCCTGCCTCAGCCTCTTGAGTAGCTGGGATTACAGGCATGCATCACCATGCCCAGCTAATTTTGTATTTTAGTAGAGACAGGGTTTCTCCATGTTGGTCAGGCTGGTCTCAAACTCCCAACCTCAGATGATCTCCCCGCCTCGGCCTCCCAAAGTGCTAGGTACAGGCGTGAATATATTATAGAATGCAAAAGTTTTAATTTTTTTTTTTTTGAGACAGAGTCTCACTCTGTCATGCAGGCTGCAGTACAGTCACAGATTCTTGCAACCTCAACTTCCTGGGCTCAGGTGATCCTCCACCTCAGCCTTACCAGTAGCTGGGACTACAGGTGTGAGCCACTATGTCTGGGTTTCTTTTTTTTTTTTTTTGCAGAGATGGGGTTTTGCTGTGTGTCCCTGGCTGGTCTTGAACTTCTGGGCTCAAGCAATCTGTCTGTTGAAGGCTCCCAAATTCCCAGGATTACAGGCATGAGCCACCGTGCCCAGTGATGTTAATTTTTATATATAAAACATGCAACTTTGTAGAAATGTATTAGCCTCTGGCTAAATCCCCAGATCTCCTGCTATAGAGACATCTATAGAGGAATCTGATGGGCTCTGGTATCTAAGATCATTGTTACTTCTGAAAACAAAATGAGTGAGACAAAAATGCAAAACATCCGCTGGTTGGCTAGTGAGGGCATTTTTGACACCTGAATTGGGGCGGGGCTGGTGCTGACCAAGTATAGGACGAGGAAATCTCAGGGCCAATGCTCACATCACTCTGCTTTGCCTGGGAGGGTCTGACACTCCAACACTGTTTTCTCTCTTTTTTTCCCTGCCCGTTCCCTGAGGCCCTCCACCCTTCTCCACTGGACACCAAATACAGCTTCTTTCTGTCCACTTCTCTTTGTGTTCCACCCACTGCTGGCTCTCTCCAGGGAATGTTATTTAAAAACAGAGCAGGCTGCGGACAGAACCTTGGCTCTCAGAAGCCAGGCTCGAGCCACAGCCAAGGCCCTGGGACTTTAGTCCTAGCTCATTTTTTACATCTGTGTCTGGGTATCATTTCATCTTGCGCTTCTCCCTCCTGCTTATCTTCTTAGACTCCGGTTATGTGAAGGCCTTGGCCCTGCAGGTTTTGGTCCCAGGCCCAGAGAAGCAAGTTTCCAGAGCATGTCTAGCATGAATCTATAATAAAATATTGAGGACATTAAGGAAAACCAGCTTACTGGATGGGCTAATCTGAGTGTATATGCTATTGGGGTCCTGTAAAGTTACTTCTTTCACTCACCTTCCTGTACAGTTCAATCTTTGGGAAACCTTAGACAAAGGAGGCACTCAATGGAGTGGAGTTGAATGAATTCAGTTGATAGACATACTGAACATCTTTCATGTCACAGATACGTGCCGGGAGGTTCTCCACTAATATATTCGGTGCTTTTGTGCACATTATAAGGAATTAGAAAGAATGATAAAGGTACCTCTGTTTAACTAACTAAAAGGCACCCTTCTCTCCAAGCTGGCACAGGAGTTTGGTGAGGGGATGATGGACTAGATTTCAGGCTTCAATTGTTCCTCTTATCAGGGTACAACTGTATCAAAGGCCTTGCTGTGAGGGATGAAAAATGAGAAAAACATGGATCCTACCCTCAAATTGCTTTGTTTTGTGGTTGGGAAACTGAGATGTAAATTCAAAACAGAACCTTAGGAGCTGAATATCTATTGACTTCAATAAACATATTTTGAGAACCTTCTAAATACTGAATGCTAATTACCAAAGAGATGGCGACCACAACCGTTGTGATTTTAGAGGAAGAGACACAGGGCTTTGGGTACCCTGGAATAGGCAGGACTCCAGCAGGCCCCAAAAAAGAGACATCCAGAGCCTCTAAGGAGAATGTTCAGTTGCATGAGCAGATCTGGGCCCGCGGTATTGAATTCAGTTGTATTCAACCATCTTTTAGTAAACATCTACTCTGGAAGAACTCCCTGGAGGTTCACATACAGAGAAGGTATATGAGCCCATACTCAAGGAGCTCAAAGTCTTGTTAGAAAGACTGACTCAAAAATAATGGCATATACTACATCTGTGCTGCCAAAGAGACCCCAGAGGAGAAGGAGCAAACAGGTAACTGGTTTCCCACCCACCCTAGAGTGCACAGGTGAGTGTCTGAGACCACCTCCATCCTTTATTCCTGTCTCACTTTGAAGAAACCTGGAGATCAGTCCCAGTGACTATGTAGAGGAATCAGACCTGGCTTTGCAATCAGACCGTCCTGGGTTCTGGCCTTACCTGCTGCGTGTGCAGAGAGCCTCTCTGAGCTTTGCTTTCCTATTGTAAGGATTAACTATGATAAAGTCTATACACATTGAAGTGTACTTGAATGGATATTGCCATCACTAGAGGTGGTGCAGGCAGCTGTAGCCTGCATAGCCGGGCAGACAGGGCCTGAGGAGGCTCCCTTACCTGGGAAGCACAGGTCACAAATGAGCAGTCAGATGATTTGGCCCCTAGACATATTTGATATGGCCCTTAGTGGTTTTCTAACATTTTGAATTCATGGGCAACATTTTAAAATCAGGAAATTTCATCAGAAATAGATATCCAAGCACCTGGGTTTGTGGCTTCTCTGGAAAAACCAGGAGCTCTGAATACTGGGCCGGTAGTCTGGCATGTAAATAGGTCCACTAGAGCTGATTGGACTGCCTCTGGCTTATCCTGGGCCCCTCCCTGCCCTACTCACTGGCCTTTTTCTGGAGGTTTTTCTCCCCCCACCTCCAGGGTATCCTTTCAAAGGTTTAGAATTTCCAAGCCACAGTCTTTCTTGTTTTCTGATGTGTATTTTCCTGTTATTTAGAAAGTGGAGAGGAAGGTCTTCCTACCTTGGTAGGGAATCTCTGCTCATCATTATTCCATAGCACTTGGGGACTGATGCAGAACTTCTCCTTCACTACATCATTCTAATCCCACAGACACAGGGAGAAGTTGGAGTAAGGACTTCTGAAACCCCCAGTGTGTGTCCTGAAGAATGTGTACAAGTATGGCTGGGTGCAGTGGCTCACACCTGTAATCCCAGCACTTTGGGAGGCCGAAGTGAGCAGATCATTTGAGGTCAGGAGTTCAAGACCAGCCTGGCCAACACAGTGAAAACTCGTCTCTGCTAAAAATGCAAAAATTAGCTGGGCATGGTGGCAGGTGCCTGTAGTCCCAGCTATTCAGGAAGCTGAGGCAGGAGAATCACTCAAAGCCCAGAGGTGGAGGTTGCAGTGAGCCTTGTGCCACTGTACTCCAGCCTGGGCAACAGAGCAAGACTCTGTCTCAAAAAAAAAAGGGGGGGCCAGGCATGGTAGCTCACACCTGTAATCCCAGCACTTTGGGAGGCAAAGGCGGGTGGATCACCTGAGGTCAGGAGTTTGAGACCAGCCTGGTCAAAATGGTAAATCCCCATCTCTTCTGCAAAAATTAATCAGGAATGGTGGCACATGCCTGTAGTCCTAGCTTCTTGGGAGGCTGAGGCAGGAGAATCGCTTGAGTCTGGGAAGTGGAGGTTGCAGTGAGCTGAGATGAGGCCACTGCATTCTAGTCTGGGCAAGAGAGTGAGACCCTGTCTCAAAAAGAAAAAAAAAAGAATGTGTAGAGTTGTGTCTTTTCTTAGATGAGCAAGCTGAGGTTAAGTGACTTGCCTGAGGTTACCCACAATTAAGTGTTGGCTCTCAGCCCATAACTGTGGTCCTAAGTCACTTTGCCAACCAGCTGCTAAGTGGGAGAGAGTTTTTCAAGGCACAGATATCCTTAGACCTGTTGCTAGCTGCTCGCCTAGAGAAGAGGAGTGGTTCAGAGGAACTTCTGAATCAACTCAGAAAGTAAAAAATGACTTTCTATGGTTTCCCAGCAAAAAAGCAGAGTTGAAAACTGCAATGTAAGAAGAGTAAGCTGCAAGGGAAATGGGGCCAAAGCCCAGGGCTGGGGAGACGGTGAAGTTTTGTGGGCCTTGCTTTTTAGGAAGGAGGGGGCGGACCAGGCCAGGCTGTCTTGAGCTGTCTAGCGTAAATCACAAAGAGGAGTGAGAACTGCTTTTCAGTCTCTTTCCCACAGTGGCCATTGCCTGGAGCTTATAGGAAGGTTCAGCTGAGAACAGCCCTCCTCCCTAACAATTTTCCCAAGCTCCTAAATCTCTCCCTCACCCAGTCCCAGGAGCCTCTGGAGGAGGAGGTGCTGAGAGCCAGGGGATCCTCCTCTGCTACTGGACACATCCTCTGTAACAGCCACTTAGGTGTTTACACTTGGAGCAGATTGCTAGTGCCAAGTGCCTACCTAACATGCATTGGCCCACTTTGTGTTAAACCCCACTCTGTGCTCATTGTCAGGGTTTAGATTTCTTTAAAAAACAGTCTCTGAGACATATTAGGGAGTGCTCTTGAGTCGGCCAACACTTGTGTGAAAGAAGAAAACAGGATAGAGCAGAAGGAGAGGTTGGACTGTGGTAAGATCTCAAGCAAGGCTCCACCGAGCCCCTGAGGAGGCTCTGGAGCTGAGATGGCCCTTCAATAGCATCCAGAGGTGAAGCAACAGAGTGGACCTTTAGATTCCTATATTGGGCTGCCCTTGGAAAGAGGTGTGGCTTTGGGCAAGGTGGCTCTCTTTAGTAGAGGAAACTCCCCAGATGGGCTGATAATCTGAGGATACAGCTGGGAAAATAATGCTTTCATTCCTGCAGGAGGATCTGCACAACACATCATCATATCCACCTCATGCGGTATGATGCCAAGTGCTCTACATAGATTAAATCATGCCAACCCCGTAGGAGGTAGGGACTATTATTATTCCCATTTTACAGACAAGGAAGCTGAGAGGTTAGGTTCTTTGCAAGGGAGGAGTGGAACCAAGATTTGAAACTAAAAAGTGTGCATTATTTTTGTTGTGGAAAGAGAGGGAGAAAAGGAAGAAGGTGATGAGGAGGAGGATAAAAGGAAAGATGAGAAGGAAGGATGAAACAAAAGGAAGAGGAAGAAAAGAGTTGTATAAACAGTGGTTTGGGCAACCTATGACCGTAGCTACAAGTCCAGGGAAGCTCCAGAGCAGGCAAGAATATTTGATCCTCAGGTCAGTCTTGGGTCAGTCCCACTGGGTCCACCCAAGCTACAGGATGTGGGCAATAATTCAGAAAAGGCCTTAGGTCTGAGGCAGGTGGACAAAGAAAGAATGTGGCACACCATCCTTCAAACCTGCCCTGAGTCATCAGAGAGACAGGGGAGTTATGAATTATAAAGCTCTTCCAAACAAGGAAAATGTGATTCTACTGTTCTGGAAAAGGTTGCTAGGCTTTAGAGCTAAGGATGCTGCCTAGGTTTGCCTTCAGCCTTTTGACAATATACAGAACTAGTGGCTCTCAGCATGAGGTCCATTGATGTCATGAAAAACAGGGTGAGGTGTCTTCTCTCTGAACTTGTTAATCCACAGCAAGTCTGAACTCTGTTCAGTGCAGAAGACACTTCATTCTTTCTGTTGGATCTATCACATTGCCCACTATTTGTGAGTGCGTGTCAATTACAGGCAGGTCTTGGCAGGCAGTGGGTCCTTAATGCATGTTTGTAAAATGCAGACAAGAACCATGTGTGGTAGATACAGCAGTTCAGGGGAAGAAGAAATTTCAGTAGATTGTAATGAGCAAGATTTATGCTGCTGAAGAATAGGGAAAAGTACCTTCCAGAAGGAAGGAATAGAGAGATTGAGAGGGAGCGATGGTAGGCAGATTTAGTGTGCCTGGGAAGAATGCAAAAGCCACTACAGCCAGAGAAGGCAATTGTGTACAGATATGTAGCAGGAGATATGTTTCAGAAGGTCTGTTGGATCAGATCGTTGAAGAGTTAAGTATTTTGGACTCTATTCTATGGACTGCTCAAAGTCACTAACGGTCTTTGAGCCTGGGAATGGCATAATGAAAATGGGCTTTTGACACAATGAATCTGACACTGGTTGGCAGGAGAGAATGGAAGGGAGGATGATGAGAGCCAAGCAGTCTGGTTGTGAAACTGTTGCAGTAACTCACCTATAAGCACGGTAGGATTGTGGGCAGACAGTAGATGGAGGTGAGACAGTCACTCATAGGAGTTGGTCATGCAGTAGAGTGCCGTGGGGCATGTCCAGCCTGGGAGAGTGGAACTGCAGAGCCCTGTCACCATCCTAGGGTTGTGGGGATAACAGTCTGGAGTAGCAGATTTCCTCTGTTTAACTTCATGTCACTCACTGCCTCTTCAGCATGGAGAAGGATTCTGAGAACATGGGAACCATAATAAGGAAGCTTTAATTGGGAGAGATGATAGAGAAATGCCCAGAGTCTGGACACCCAGGCGCAGCATGAGGGCATAGTCTCCAACAGGGAGAGCTACCAACAGGAGGTCAGATGTAGACTGCAGAGACGGTGGTGCCAAAGCAGGGCAGGACTTTGCCAAGAGCATAGGCACTTTAGCCCAGCCAGTTGGGGTGGTAGAAGGAGCCCTGAACCAGGAACCCTGACTGGAACCCTGCCCTGCCACATACACTAGCAACATGACCTTGCTAAGTCATCTAATCGTTTAAGATAACTGTTGGGGAAACATCCAGCCTAGTGCCTGGTGTGGCTGATACTTAACAAATATAGAGAGAAAATAAAGGTCTTGAGCTTCTGTTTGCTCACCTGCGAAGCAGAGATAACAATCTCAGACCCACCTACCTGCCCGGGGTATGGGGTAGGATCACATGAGATGCAGTCTGTGAGCACTCTCCAGAGGCAGTAGACTAATCTAAGGGAGAATATCATGATTTTCGTGGATCTCTTGCACCCTCCAGAGACTCTTTTTCAGAAGCAGAGGAGTATTTTTAAGATTCTCCCCACCTATTTCCACTAAAAGAGAGAATAGAAGTGAGAAGATACCATAAGCCCTTTGGGTACCAGATCATGAACTCTTCCAGGGCAAGAATGGGTCTTCATTTCTTTATTCCCAGTGCCCAGCAATGTGCCTTCATGGATTTAACCAAACCCTATGGTGCCCATGGCCAATCAGAACACCTGTAGCCCAGAGAAGATCCGAAGCCAAGTTCCAATGAAGGGATCAGAGACCTATAAACTTAACTCTTTTAGAGATGGAGAGAACTAGTGGTGGTGAGCAGGTGGGAGTGGGCTACAAACAACTTCACTGTTACCCTGAGGGACTCTCCTTGGCCAAACATTCAAGGCCTTTCACAGTTTAACTCCTGCCTGACTTTTCATTATTTCCTTTCCTGCAACGTACACCTTCTCATTCCTCACACACACCCTACATTTGCCCCACCCCCAGCACCTATAACCCAGATTTTAACTTTCTTTTGCATCAAATGCCCTTCTCCTCGCCCATATCCTACAATCTTCACCTGTCCAAGGTATGACATGTTATGTCCCTTCACCCATGAAGGGTTAACCTCCCATCTTCTAATCTCTGCCACTCTTTATGCTATTCTGCTATAATCTGGCCTCCCTCCCAGAATCACGATTATTAATGTACTCTCCTTTGGCCCATTAATCCTTTAAGGGCTGGGTCCATGCATGTTTGTCTTTGTAGGTGTGCAAACTGAAGCTCCTTCCCCCAGAATCTGCCACAGTGTCTTATGCAAAGTAGGTGTCTCATAAATGTGTATTAAATGAATGAATAAAAGTATATCCATTATAATAATACAATTTTTCCTATCATCCCTATCATCACCATCAGCTTCATTCACATCTATTAATTCACAGTAGGTAAGCCTGGAACTAGCACTACATCTAGTACATAGTAGGCCCTCCGCAATTCTTTGCCAAATGCAAAAGGTAAATCCCAGTGCAGCTTGAGACTCTTCCTGATTTCATATGCAGTAGTGATCCTAGAAGATGTCACAAGGAGCCCGGTTCTTTGCAAATTGGATTTTTTGTAATCCAGGAGTAGGTTGGAGAGTACTTAGATTGGTCTCTAAACTCTGGAGCCGTAGCAGCAGCACAAACACTTATTTTTCATTTTCTCCCTTAATTATGCCCTTTCCTCTCCACCACCCGAAGTTCTCAGGCTGAGAGTATCTGTTGAGTTTCCTTGAGGGAGAATAAAGTGACTTGATGTGGTTTCCTTCCAGCTGTTTCTGCAGCCCCCACCTGAACCTCAGAATGCAGGGCAGGCATCTTTCTGTCATATCCTCTCAGTGGGGTTTCTCACCAGCCTGCCAGGAAGGACCAGTCACCTGCAGGTGAATGAATGCTCTGGCCTTATCCCAGACAAGCTGTTTCATCCCAGCAAAGTCAGCGGGCATCCAGTCGTCAAGCCTGATGTGCCCGGGCTGCTAAAATGAGCACTCTGTTGCAGGAAGTGCTGTCTCTGATTGATTTCCCTGATGATTTCAGGCCGTGGTGGTGACTGATGGGGAGCGCATCCTGGGCCTGGGAGACCTGGGCTGCTATGGCATGGGCATCCCTGTGGGCAAGCTGGCCCTGTACACAGCGTGCGGAGGTGTGAACCCACAACAGTGCCTCCCTGTGCTGCTGGATGTCGGCACCAACAATGAGGTAACCTGCTGCCCAGGCCAGGAGCTCTGGTGCTGGAAGGTGGCAACTGGGATGGGGGTGAGGAGCATGTTTATGGATGGTTATAGCTACATAGCAATGGGCCATTTCTTTCTTGGCATCCCCCTGACCAGGGCACTCCCCCTACACAGTTGTGGAGTAGAGGACCTTCTTCCCTGGTTGCCCACCTCTAGCTCCATTCTGTTCCTTCCTCCACTCCTGGATCCCCTTGCTCCTCTACCTCCATGAGGCCCTCTGTGCCCACAGAGGCTTCCATGCTTGGGCTTCCTTCCTCCCTAACCTCCATTACCCCATGCAGTTTCTATTTCCCTTGAGGTGGGTGTGACCACTGGGCTGTGTTTTTTAGCATTCTCAAGGCAAGCTGCCCCAGTGGAAGGATTAAAATTCAAAGCACCAGGACCAGGGGCTGAAATGTCTGATCAGGCAGATCAGTGTCCTGTAAACCCAGTGAAAGAAACTGGGCGAAGCTGTAGGTGAGATCCACCTACAGGATTCCTAACAGTTTGTGGTTTAAGGAGCTCAAACCCCAGCCAATGGTTTGTCTGCTCTGGGAACCACCCTGGGCATGTCTGTGATTTGCAGCTCCATCTCTGTGTCAGAAACCATCAAAAATATCCAAGGATTCCCTCTTAATGACATTTATCTTTGAGATCACTGCATGTTCATCTTTTAAAAATTGAGGCCGGGTACAGTCACTCATGCCTGTAATCCCAGTACTTTGGGAGGCCAAGCTGGGTAGGATCACCTGAGGCTAGGAGCTTGAGACCAGCCTGGCCAACATGATGAAACACTGTCTCTACTAAAAATATAAAAAATAGCTGGGCATGGTGACACAAGCCCGTAATCCCAGCTACTCGGGAGGTTGAGGCAGGAGAATCACTTGAACCTGGGTGGCAGAAATTGCACTGAGCCAAGATTGTACCACCGCACTCCAGCCTGGATGACAGAGCGAGACTCTGTCTCAAAAAAAAAAAAAAGAAAAAAAAAATTGAGAAAATTCAGAGAAGTGTTAAAAATAAAACATCATTCACACAACAAGCACTAATCATTGTTTACAAATTGGTATATTTTCTCCCAGCCTTTTTTTTTTCCAAATCACTTATAAAATAAAAGTTGGGTCCTTATTATATATACCATATTTTCTATTTCTTTTTCAAATTTAATTATCTATCATGATTTTTCTTCCAGGTCATTAACCATTCTTCCACAATGTTAGTTTAATAGCTGCCTGGTTTATCATAATTTACAAAAGAAAACTCCACAGTTGGACACTTAGGTTGTTTCTAGTTTTTTTTCAAATATAAATTGTGCTCTAACACCCATTTTTGCAGATGAGTCTTTGTCCCTATCTCTGAGTATTTCCTTAGGATAAATTTCTAGAAATTTAAGTTTTGAAGCAAAAGGAATGATCATTTTTTAAATTCTTGATTCACATTATCAAAAAAGTTATACTTATTTGCATTCTGCAGTGATCTCTCTTAAGAAAATTTGCCAAGCCTCTTTACATGGCCTTCCTCTTCCCTCAACACCAGGCATCCCCATTTCTTTTTTATTTTATTGTTTAAGACAGACTCTTGCTCTGTTGCCCAGGCTGGAGTTCAGTGGCTTGATCTCGGCTCACTGCAACCTCTGCCTCCCGGATTCAGCCAATTCTCCTGTCTCTGCCTTCCGAGTAGCTGGGATTACAAGCATGCACCACCACACCCAGCTAATTTTTGTATTTTTAGTAGAGACAGGGTTTCACCATGTTGGTCAGGCTGGTCTCGAACTCATTACCTCAAGTCATCCACTCACCTCTACCTTCCAAAGTGCTGGGATTATAGGCGTGAGCCACTGCGCCCGGCCCATGCATCCCCATTTCAAACAAGAGCAAGCACTATAGATCCTAGTAAAGAATGATGCTTATTCAGGCTTCATCTGCAGATACAATCCAATAATGGAACACTGGGCAGCCCTTGCCTAACAGCTGGGAAATCCTGGGGGTGGGAATGAGATGAGGAAAGGTAAGAAAGTGGGAAAAGTATTGGATTGGGACCTTGGTTCCCCATATCATGATGAGCTAGGGACCTCGGTTTCAGTAACATGATGAGCCAGATAAGTCACTGCACCTCCTTAGACTTAATTCCCCTTCAGTACATTGAGAGACTAGACCAGAAGTTACTGAGCATCCTGCAACCTCTAAAACCACTTGGTCTCCATGTATCTCCTCACCAGCTCAGGAGACAGGAGGTTGGATGGAGATACACGCTTTACAGCTGCTCATCAAGACCAGTCTTCAAGTTTTGCTCTGCACAGTGGTGCCCTTCCCCCCCAGGCAGATATCTTGAGTTTTGCTGAAATTGTCTTTTGGCCTCAAAGAATGCTTCTTTGCAAGCCTGGATGAGCGCAGCAAACTTTGTTTTATTCTTCCTCTCCAACACCTCCTGCTGTGTTCCAGCTGGATTTAATTGAGACCTTCATTCCTTTTAAAAGCTGACCTTAGACAAGAATTGGAACAGAATGAGTTTTATTCTGAGGCCACTGCATCCACTGGAAAGGTGCTGGCTGCCCTGGTGCACTGGGATCCTTTGTCATTGACGGTCCAGCACTCGTCAATGATATGCTGAAGTTTAGAGCTGGCTCTAACTTAAAATAAACCCACCAGAAAAAATGACTGTAGCAGTAATTGTGGGTCAGGCCCTTTTTTGTGGACCACTTGATTTAAGCCTTACAATAACCCTGTGAGTTGAGCATCTGTTATTACCCTCTTTTTTTATAGCATAGGAAACAGGCCCAGAGAGTTTCATTTGCCCAAGAAGATCTGCTAGAAGTGGCAGGACTGGGATCCAAATCCGAGCTTGTGCTCCTCACCCCACATTACACCTGTGCTCCCAGTTTCTGTTTCTTTATAAGTAAAGATCATTTCTTGATTTCTAGAATTTTTTATTACTAAAATAAATTTAGAACATTATTCAAAATTTTAAAAGAAAAAGGAAATGGCATTTCTCTCACAGTACTGCACTTGTGTTTCTTTCCAATATTTTTCTGTGCCTATACACAGAGGTGATTATTACCTAGGTGTAATCATAATGTGATTTTGTTCTAATTTTTTCCATTAAGATTATTTTGTGAACACTTTGCCTTATTTAATAAAAGTGTATTGAGTGTTTAGTGGGTGTCAGGCATCCTGCTGAACCTGAGGGTTATAGAATATTCTAGTTGTCAGTGTTTCAACACTGTCACCTAATTGGTCACTTTAATGAGTCATGTGTTACATCTACTCAAAGCATCTGCTTCTCCTCCTGGGGCTTTAGGCCTCTAGAATCACCTCTCCCTTTTGGATGTGGAGGGGAGAGAACCTCCCCTGGGCCTGCTCTTTATGTCAGGGAGGGACCAGAGTACCCCCATCTAGGAAGAGGGAACATGCCCTGATCTGCCCTCTGCATGCACCCCAGGAGTGAGAGGAAGCAGTTCTTCCCTGGTATATTATTCTCCCCATTTTCAGATAAAGAAACTGAGACTGAAACATGTCAACTACTTACCTCAGATCCCACAGCTCTAAGTCTCAGAGCTTGGATTGGAACCCAGCTCTCTGGCTCCACAGCTGCCTTGCCCACCGTGGTGCACTGCTCCAAAGCGTTAGGTGTTTGCATTATAGACTGGGAAATGGGGGCCAAGAATGGGTATTTCACCCAGGCAGGATCCCATGGACTCTCAGGATCAAGTCAGAGGATAGCCACGCTCTTTATACCATCCTCCCCTCTAGGGAACAGTAGGCCCCCTACAGACCCACTTGAAGAAATTCAGGACACAAAATTCTCAAAGTTATAAAGTGACCAAGATTAGGAACACGGTTATTTTTCTCTTTTCCCAACTACAGCTCATTTTTCTTTTTTTTTTTTGTTTTGTTTGTTTTTATGATTCTGTTTGCAAGACATCGCCCCAACCAGAAGTCCCAGGGCACATCTTTTGCTAAGAGCAAGCCTAAGATGTAACAGAGGGAAGCTTGGCCTTACCACTTTTATCTCACATGTCCACACAGGGAGATGCTGTTGTGAGGGGTTTTTAGTGTCAGAATAACTGGACCATCTGTGTGTATGGCTCTATAAAAACTCCTGAGGCAACAAGAGCTTTAATCACAGTCAAAGACAACACCCCTCCAGGTTTCCTGTTGAAGGAAAACATCTGCTGTCCACAGCCCTGAAACTCTGCATCACTTTTACCTGCTGATACAAAGGAGATTTGGAAAAATAAGTGTGTGAGGCCGTGATCCCATGAAAATGGACATCCCATGATTAAGTTCCAAGGGGGTAGGGGAAAAGAGCACCTGCTCAGGCTTCCATCATGGCTGTGTGTGGTTTGGATTTATTTTGTTTCATCCATACGCAGCCAGTCACAGACTCTTCAGGTTAGACGGGATCTGAGTACCATCTCATTCAACCCCCTTGTTTTACAGGGGAAAAGAGGCTCAGAGCAGAAAGGGCCTTCCCAAGGTTTTACTCCAAACCCAGAGCTCTTCCCACTCTGTGCTAAGGCAGTGTGGGAGAATCCAGGGGTGTGGGGCTTGGCTTTAAAATGACCCTACTGAGCCTTGGAGATCTTTTCTCGGCAGAAGTCTTGAGCCTCTATGAATTCAGCCCAGAAGGAGATGCTGTGTGATCTTCTGGAACTGAAGAACAGATGGAGGGAGGGGAGTCATGTCTGCTTAGGGAAACAAACATGGGAGCAGATTATCAGCAGAGCCTGGTAAATATTGCCAGGAAGCAATATTGGATTGCCAAGGAAGCATGGAGTTGGTAACCAGGCTGGGCGTTGCAGGGTTTCCTCTACCTTGCAAGATTATTGTTATTCAGCATTCTCCATGTGGTGCCATCATTGATCTCCCTATGATGAGCTCATCCTCATGTAACCCATGAGGATGCCCTTGCTAGGATCTCTGTAGCTTACCCCGGGCTTAGCTGAGCTTCCCAAGGAATGAGTAGTAAGTGGGACTGCCACTGTGA